TCCCTCCCTCCCTCCCTCCCTCCCTCCCTTCCTTCCTTCATTCCTTCCTCATGATAAATCATTCTTCTGTAATCCAGTCAGCTTAGAAGGGGAGGGTGAGAGGTGGTTTCATCAATGATGGGATCTCTTTCTTTGGAGATTTGTTTTAATAACTCCCCAGGCTTTGACCTCTGTGTTTCCATATTTGTTGCCATTCCTTGATGCTAGAGGTGATTTTCCTCCTAACCTGTTAACCTCATAACTTTACTTCCCAGAGGCAAAGGACATCCTCTGTGCCCGACAGTATGATGAAACACCTGGGTTTGACCCATCCCTCCACAATCTGCATGCACAGGCCACTATAAAAATGAAGCACCAGAGTGGAGGTCAGTAGTACTCTACTGAGTTGAGATAAACTAACATGGAACCCCAAAGGCCAGGCCGTGGAATGTCATCTCTGAACATCCTTGAAGTAAGTTTTCAGCCAGATTATTACTTATTTTAGTGTTGATTTTTGAGATGCCAGTTCATTGGTTCTATGCTCGGCATGGAAACATGAGGTCTCTAAGTGTAGGTCTTCACTAAATGAGGGTGATCATTTACAGACTTTCCTTCCTTCTGTTTGTAAGAGCCTCCTTTTCGTTTGTTGATATTTAATACTCAGTGCCTTGGGAAAAACACTTTCTAGAAATTACCTCTGTTTTATTTTGTAGCAGTCTAGTCAAAAAGAAAAAGGAGAGTTGAAGAGGAATGGAGATGAAATTCAATATATATATATATATATAGATAGATAGATAGATAGATAGATAGATTTATAATATATATATATATATATGTATATATACATATAATCTTAGGTTTTACATGGCTCACAGCTCATTTTTATACTATAATTTGTCTGATTCTCACACATTACCTTAAATATTATTTATCATCTACTCATTCAACAAACATCTATTAAATTGGGAACTTTGAAAATAAAGAGGGAGAGGTTTCAACTAGCAAATAAGTTCCATGAGCACAGGATTTTAGTCTCTTTCATTTACTGCTATATCTCTAGCACTCGGAATGGTGCCTGGCACATAGGAGGCACCCAATCAATATTTGTTGGAGAATGAATGAATATTAACGTGATTTAAAAAAAATCATTTTAGAGTAAGAGATATGCTAAGTATATTGGGCCTGGAATTGTGAATGCCATGAAGCCTATTATTCAGAAAAGGACCCTGAGGAATACTTGAAGTACCCATGTGTCAGAGGAGATATGCTCTTTTATGATCACAGTGGGCAGCTATTTTATGTTCCAGAATTTGTTTCTTTTTTGCTTTGAAGGTGGTGTATGGTTAATTTCATCTTTTCATTTTCACTCTTCTTTAGAAAGTAAAAAGATTCCAATCTATGAAAACAATGAGTTGGTTTTACTTAGTAGTCTTTTCGGTATTCACTTAGCGCTGATCTCTTAGGCATTCCAAGGCATCCATCAGGTGGTTGTATTAAGCCTCACAGCTCAGCACAGAGGTTGTGAGCAGAGCACACAGCAACTTGGGCAGGGCAAGGCCCATCTCACTAGAGTGTTTATTTTTAAATTTTGAGTTTGCTCTCTTTCTGTATCCCTCTTAGGACCTGCAGTAAAGAAAAGGGGGAATTGAAGATGGGGATTTTGGTGAAGGGCTTACTTGGCTGGTCCCCTCTGTCACCCACTTGCTTTCCTATCCACCTAGCTCAGAACATCTTTTTTTCTTCCTTTCTCCTCCAACAGTAAAGTCAAAGTGGGAACCGAATGCGAACTTGGCCGAGGGCACTCCCTAACTAGGCACCATTGCCTCCCTTTTGTGATTTTGGGAGCTCAGAGTTCAGAGTGACTTGTGCCTGCAGTGGTAAGACCAATTCTGTCAGAGGCTTTAGCCATAGGCAGTGCTATAAAAAACACATAACATGGTCAAAGGTTTTTATGTGGCAGTTGAAATGTTATGGGATTTCATTTTATAAGAACCTCCAGTCCAACACAGCAATGCCTAGCAGGTCAGTGAGGCTTTGTGTGTGTGTTTTTTTCTTTTTCTTGTAATTCACTCTGAGTTCATTCAAGACAAGCATTTCTAAACCAGCTTACAAGAAAAAACATTGGGTTGTTATGGGGAAGCACAAGACTGAGAGTCAGGATTTCAATTCTAGTGTGGACTTGATTGCAATCAGCAGAAACCTGAGATTTTTATCAATCGTATTATTTTTCTCAGAAAAAAATCCCTTATTACTTTTGTTTGTGGCTAGGGGTAGGGTTGATAGGAGTAGAAGAAACAGAAGTTTTCACCAAAAGGTGGAACTACTGTTTCTGCTAAGATGGCATTGCTTATTATGATATTCCCTGTATATCTCAATGCAAAATATTGGTGGCTGTTATGCAGGGTCATGTGTTGGTTGCTTTAGGGTTAAACACAGACCAGAAACTCCTGGAGAAAAATGGCATCCTTTTCTTTAAGAAACTCAACACCTTTCTTTAGTTTTTCCTCCTGACTTCACTTTTAAAATCATGCTCATTGTTCAAATAGTAAAGGACATCAGAAAAATGTCTTCAGACAAGCAAGGACCATGAGTCCCACCCACCCAGTCTGGCCTCTACATGGGTTTTGGAAAATGTGATGGATGAGTAACATCTCCTAATATAAAAATAATAACTCTCTGTGTCACACACTATGTTCCTGCTCTGGAGTGAGTGTTGTCTAAGGATGAACTCTTCCTGACTTCGCTATCTCTTTGAACAGTGTTGCTATTCTCCATGTTTTCCCCACTTCAAACAGTAGTCATTTTTGACTCCTCCCCTTTGTTCGATGTATTGAAACAGTTGCTAAACTCCATGGATTCCTTCTTTTCAGTATGTATTACATCAGTTTTATTTCTTCATTCCTATTATTTCTCACATATGTCAAAGTCATATTTTGGGAACAGTAAAGAACACAGGTTTGGAGTTAGGCAGAACAGAGTTTGAGTTCTAGCTCTGCCATTTACTACCTACGTGCCATTGCTTAATCTCCCTGACCCTTAGTTACCTTATTTTTAAAATGGGGATCACAGTTGTATTGGTCTCAAAGAGTTGTTGTGAGAATTAAATGTCAGAATGTAGGTAAAATACTTAGTAGAGTGCCTAACACATAATCAGAGTTCAACACATAATGGTAATCACAATAGTCGCCCTTTATCCTCGGTTTCACTCTCTGTGGTTTCAGTTACCCACAGTCAACGGCCCCAAAAAATTAAATGGGAAATTCCGTAAATAAACAAGTCACGCATTTTAAATTGCACGCCATCCTGCTCCATCCTGCCCAGGATGTGACTCATCCCTTTGCCCCGCATATCCACGCTATAGACACTCCCCGCCCATTAGTCACCTAATATCACATTGACTGTCAAAGTAGCACAGAGCTTGTGTTCAAGTCACCTTTATTTTACCTAATAATGGCCCCAAAGCACAAGAGTGGTGATGCTGGCAATTCAGATATGCCAAAAACAAGCCGTAAAGTGCTTCTTTTAAGTGAAAATGTGAAAGTTCTCAACTTACTAAGGAAAGGAAAAAAAAAATTGTATGCTGAGGTTGCTAAGATCTATGGTAAGAATAAATCTTCAACATGAAATTGTGAAGAAAGGAAAAGAAATCCATGCTAGATTTGCTGTTGTACCTCAAACTGCAATGTTAACAGCCGCAGTGCATGATAAGTGGTTAGTTAAGATGGAAAGGCATTAAATTTGTGGTTGGAAGACATGATCAGAAAACGTGCTCTGATTGATGGCAACGTGTGCCCCAAAACATTGAGCCTATACGAAGAAGACTTCAACAAGGGATCCCTTGAATAGTGACACCTAGCCTTTTGCTGCAAGTAAGGGATGGTTACACAGATTCAGGAATAGGTTTGGACTGAAAAATATAAAATTACCGGAGAGAAAGAGAGAGAGAGAGACACCACATTCACATAACTTTTATTATAATATCGTGTCCTAATTATTCTATTTTATTATTAGTTATTTTTGTTAATCTCTTACTGTACCTAGTTTATAAGTTAAACCTTTATCATAGTATGTATGTATAGAAAAAAACATAGTATATATCGGGCACAGTACGACCTATGGTTTCAAGCATCTACGTATCCCTCAAGATAAGGGGAGACTTATCACCCCTCCTTGTTCATTCTACCTTCTGCTAGCAGGCTAATCCCTTAAAGCCCAGCTCTGACGTTTTCTTTTCCATACTTCCAAAGATAGGCCTCATCGTAGGATGGTTAAAAGCTGTCTTCTGCAGCTGGATGGCTTGGGTTACCATTTACTAACTGTGTGATCTTGAGCAAGTTTCTTAACTTCTCTCAGTTTCCTTATCTCTAAAATAGGGATAATTGTATCTACCTCAAAGGGTTATTATGAGATTTATATTATGTATATTAATAGTTAATATTTTAAAGTGCCTGGCACACAGTAAGTCAATATTAGTTATGATAAATAAAAGCCTATGCTGGCTTCTTATATTTGCTCTTTCATAAACATGCTCTGTATTCATTCCTTTCGTCTTGCTGTTCTTTTCACCTGGAATGCAGGGTGGTTTAGTGGAAAGAGTGCTTGCAGCCCAGGGAGAGTATCAGATTTTACTTACATGCCAGCTTCGACTTAGTAGGGGGAGCTATCAGGATTACTTGCAAAATGTTCTGAGCTTTGTAGGTTTCAGTGGGAGAGCAGTTAGTTACGCCGCCAATGAGCCCAGGAGGGAGAAGTAAAGACACATCCTTGTATTTTGCCACAATAAAGCCGAAGTCATAGTCATTTGTAAGAATCACAATGTTCTCATGATAAAAATATACAGTTCTGGGTGAGAGATAAGTTTTCTTAATACTGAGGACTAAAGAAAAGAATCTCCATGGCTCTTCATAAGTAGCATTCTTCTGATTGCTTTATATACTTAAATTCATTTATTCCTCACTGCATTCTCTGAGGTAGCCACTATTATTGTCCTCATCTCCTTTTTACTAATGAGGAAGCAAAGGCACAAGGCAGTAATTTGCATGAGATAATGCAATTAATAAAGTGGAATTTGGGCTGGGATTTGAAACCTGGGCAGTCTAGCTCTAATGTCTACAGTTTTGGCTACTCTGTTAAATATAACTCTTGGTCCTTGGGTAACTTTTAAAGTAAATCAAATTTAATTTAAAAACAAGGTACATCAATTGTCAATTCAATTTGAGTAAATTTGATTCAGCTCTTTTAGATATTTAATTCTATAAAGGCCCAAATCACTGTTCAAATGCATATCTTTGTGATGGTTTGATTTGATCCAGCAATAATAGTAAGAATCTTGACCAGTGGGTTTCAACCCCTCCCTGCAGAGCTCTAGGGGTACACAGGTTTTTCTGGATTCTGAGGGCTGGTAGTAGTGGGTGTGACAGGGGTTCTGGGCCTACACTCCCATCTGAACCAGAGTAGCCTTGTTTT